ATATTTTGACACTTACAATTACTTTTTAAAAATAGGTTTATAAGCAGGATGTTGGTGGCTCATGCCTTTAATCCCAACACTCAAGAGGCAGAGGCAGGGGGATCTCTCTGAGTTTGAGGTCTACAAGAGCTATTTCCAGGACCGCCTTCAAAGCCACAGAGAAACCCTGTCTTGAAAAAAAAAACAAAAATAAATAAATAGGTATATAATATTTTGTTGAGCTTGGCACTGGTACATGCCTTTAATCCCAATCAGTACTCAGGAGGCAGATGTGGGGGGATGTCTGAGTTCCAGGCCAGCCTGGCCTACAGAGTGAGTTCCAAGACAGGCAGGACTACATAGAGAAATCTTGTCTTGAAAAACAAAACAACTGCCTCCCCCAAAAAATTGTTGCAAAGAAATTTTTCATACAATATATTGTTTTTCCATCCTCCAATGCCTACTAGACCATCTCCACCCACTTAACTCCATTCCTTCTGTCTACTCCTCTCTCTCTTTAGAGAACAAACAAACAAAAATGGCAAATAAACTAAAATAAAAAAGAAAAAACATAGGAAACAACTATACACACAGAGACATATACATACACACAAAACCCATAAATACTGAAAACCATATATATAAGCAAAAGGCCAGTAAGACAAAAAATACCCAAACAAAACAAAAAGTATACAAAAAATACCACTGAGTTCATTTTGTGTTGTCCATCAACTGCTGGGCATGAGGTCTATCCTTAAGTGTAGTTATTATACTCAGTGAAACTCTATTGGAGAAAATAATTTTTCCTTTGCAAGCAGATGTCAGTTGCAGAGAGGTTCTTGGTTAAGGACAGGAGTCTGTGTCCACTTCCCATCTTAGAACTGGGACACTGTCTGACTTGAACCTTGAATGGCCTGTGCACACTGACACACTGTGAGTTCACATTTGCATCAGTCCTGTTGTTTTTGGAAGACATTTTCCTTGGTGTCATCCATCCCCTCTGGCTTTTACCATCTTTCCACCTCTTCTTCTGTATAGCTCCCTGAGGCCTGTGGAACACTCAGAATTATATTTCCATCTCCCTTTAAAACAGACAAAACTCAGCTGGGAAGTAGTGGTACATTCCTTTAATCCCAGCACTCGGGAGGCAGAGGCAGGGGGGTCTTTGTGAGTTCGAGGACAACCCAGTCTACAGAGAGAGAGAGTTCCAGGATAGGCTCCAAAGCTACACAGAGAAACCCTGTCTCAAAAAAAAAAAAAGTGTTCAATGTTGTGTTTGAAAACTAGTCCTTGCCTTGTTGTGTCTAACAGTTTAAACATTAGAAACTAAACCTGTGGAGAATGCTGGCCCACACCTGGCTCCCATTAATTCCAAGTGTGCAGAGATCTCTTAGCTTCTGTGAGGAATAGTGATGCCTGATGAGGCCCTGAAGGGGGAGAATGCACCATGACCCTGCAGACTACTTTAGTGTTCTCTCCAAATGGAGTCATCTGACCACTGAGTTTCATTCCAGTTCTCTCCCACCTGCTTTGTAGGTGTTGCTCTCTGCCCTTTCTAGTTCCTTCCCTATGCTCCTGAGAGCACCCCACCCCCTTCAAAAACTTACCTGGACAACAAGCCCCATCTTATGCTCTGCTTCTGGGATATATGATTGAAGAAGATACACCAATTAAAAATAATTAGATGAGTATGCATACCTGTGTTCACTAGCCTGAAGAGATGTTCATAACACATCTAGGATGGAACCTAGAAATTTATACATGATGGTGAAAGGCAAGTGCTTTATCACAGATATATATTCATATCCCTCTTTTTTGTGAACAGGGTCTCATGTTGTCTGGCCTTGAATTCAGTATATAGCCAAGGATGGACTGCCTGATCCTCCTGCCTCTACCTCCTGAGTGCTAGGCATTCTCTGTTTATGTGATGCTGGGATCGAACCCATGATCTCATGAATACTAAGCAAGCACACCTCATCACTATGTAAATTCCCAGCAATCCTTTCCCTCACTTTCCACTGTTTTTCTTTTTCAACTTTGCATTTTGAGATAGTGTCTTACTAAATTGCACAGTTTAGCTGTATTCTCACTCTGTAGCTCATTTTGAGATAGTGTCTTACTAAATTGCACAGTTTAGCTGTATTCTCACTCTGTAGCTCATCTTGAACTTGCTATCCTCCTGTCTTAGGCTCATGAGTTAACTGGAATTACAGGGCCTGTGAAACTGGGCCTGGCCTAATGCTCACTTTTTATAGATATCCAATGGGATTTTTATTATTTTTTGAGATAGGGTTTTACTATGTAGCTCTGGATAGCCTAGAACTCCCTATGTAGACTAGGCTGGCCTTGAACTCAGAGAGATTCACCTACCTCTGACTCTTGAGTGCTGGAATTAAAGATGTGTGCTTCAATACATTAAAAAAAAAAAATCACTGTAACAGATGTCAAAACATATTCTGCATAGAGTAACATTATGAAATTATTTTATGTGTGATTAGCAAATGACATTTTTTTTCAGACAATCTATGTATTCTTGGCTGTCCTGAAACACACTATGTAGACCACACTGCCTCCCAAGTGCTGGGATTAAAGGCATGACTGGCCAACAATTTTTTTGTGTTTTAAATTTTTGTTTTATGTGTATGGGTGTTTTGCCTGCCTGTTTGTGCACAATGAATATAGAGCCTGAGAAGATCACAGGGTATCTGATTCTCTTGGGTTAGAGTTACAGAAAGTTGTCAGTAGCCATGTGGATGCTGGGGGTTGGACTTGGACCTCTGGAAGGCAGGCAGTCCTCTTAACCTCTGAACCATCTTTCCATCTTTGAAAATTACAGTTGTTGAATCTTCTGAAGGGTAATTTGACTCCACTGGATGAACCCTTCAACTTTTTCATAGATTATATTTATTTAAAATAAGTTGAAGAAAGATGTATCTTCTGAGTGTGAGGGTTACTGTAATTTTAGCAGCTCAGGATTTGTGGGAACTGGATCCAGTTTTTGATTCTTGTGTCCAAGGACTTTGTGTGCTACATCTGTAATGCTGATGTCAGATGTTTGTGACAAAGCTCATTCCTTGTTTGGTGGACACTGACCCCATGGGCACTGTACATTCTTGGAACTGGCTGTGCCTGCAGCTTGTTTCATCGGTCTGTCAACTTGGTAGATGTTCTCAGCTGAACCTTGTACTTGCTGGCTAGCTTAACAGTACATTTTCAATATGGGCGGGTATACCCTTTGAGCTCAGTTTGACTTCAGGAATCAGGAATTAACAATGTGCTGATTCCACCAGCCAATCCTAACGTCTAAAACCAGGGGGCTGACCTAGAGTTTTTCCTAATGGATGAGAATCATATTGCAGAAGGGTGCTGACTGATGTGGAAGTCACCACAGCCAGTGTAAAATCCAGGGTGGAAAATTGTATGGTGGTGGCACATACCTGTTATTTTAGCAGCACTCAGGGGATCATGAGGTACAGGCGAGACTGAGCTACATAGTGAGACCCTGTCAAAAAAAAAAAAAAAAAAAAAAAAAAAAAAAAAAAAAAGGCTGTAATGCCTCCCAGAAGTAGGGAGGCAGAGATAGGCAGATCTGTGATCGAGGCCAGTCTACAAAATGAATTCCAGAACAGCCAGGAATGTTACACAGAGAAACCCCATCTTGGGGGAAAAAAAAGTATGTGGAAGCAAATTCCACTTAAAATATCCATTTACAGATTTGGGAGAGTTTATACCAAATGTTTAACTTTGGCTGTCTCTGGGTAGACAAACCTTAAGGTGCTTTGTTCCTTTTTCTTATCATCTAAAATTCGTAACTCATCTGTATTAAACATTGATGGTAATTTGATAAAACTACTAAAAGATAAAATAATGGAAAACTTATTGGATCATGAGTTCCAGGTCATCCTGAGCTATGATGAGATTCCATTAAAAAAAAAAACAAAAAACATCGTGGGCCAGTCGGTGGTGGCGCACTCCTTTAATCCCAGCACTCAGGAGGCAGAGGCAGGTGGATCTCTGTGAGTTCAAGGTCAGCCTGGTCTACAAAGCTACACAGAGAAACCCTGTCTTGAAAAACAAACTAATACTTATTAAACAAATATCATTATGGGACTTCATAATAAATCATAATTAGGCTTTGGGCTCACAGAATACCTAAGTGTTCAAATTTTCTTACATACCTACTTATATGACACTACCTATGGTGTGGTCAAAACTTCAGGTTCTGAGCTTGTGACAATTTCCTTACAACTTAGCCCTAACTTCTAAGTCTACACTGTCTTCAGGATAATAGGGATAACAATACCAACTTCACAGCTTTGCTAAAAAACACAAAATGCACAGAAACATGGAATAAACTATAGTTGACATAATGCCTAGCATACCAATAAATTACTAGAGATGTAACAGGCCTTCTGAAAGGGGCCAGCGGACTATGTACCCTCACAGCAGAAGCCTCTGCCCAATTGTAGAAGACTGGGTCCTGAAAGCTACGCTGTGAATTCTGACAGGCTTTTTTTTTTTTAATCAGGGAAGGGTGCAGGCAAGAGCAATTGCAGCATTTCTAGCCAGTCAGTCTCCTAGGGCCTCTTTCTTTGATTGATGTGGAGGTACGGATTCCCTTGGTTAATAAGTTAAAGCACAGTGCTCAGGAGCCAAAGGCCGAAGTCTGAAGTCCCAGAGAAAGAAGTACCCTTCCCCCAGTGGGAAACAGTACACTTTTACATCACTCAAGAAATGGTGTTTATTTGGTAAACAATTTCAAAATGATCTCCCAAACTCAGAAGCCACAGCCGTGTGTGTGTGTGTGTGTGTGTGTGTTTATTTGGTAAACAATTTCAAAAAAATCTCCCAACCCCAGAAGCCTCAGCCATGTGTGTGTGTGTGTGTGTGTGTGTTTATGTGGAAAAAATTCTAAAAATGATGTCACAAACACACACCCCAGCCCCGTGTGTGTGTGTGTGTGTGTGTGTGTGTGTGTGTGTGTGTGTCTCTCCAAAGTAAACAGGGCAGGACTTCACCAATTGCTCGATTAACAAAACTTTTATCTGATTTTGAGATGAAGTGCTTTCCCTAGTAAGAATCAACTGGAGTGCTCTGTGTAAACAGCTTTCTTAAAGGTTAATATCATTAACGAATTGTTTCTTTTGCAGTTTTTAAGTCCAGAGCTATGGGCTTCAGAATGATTGACAGAAAAGTCTTATTCAGTTCAGTTTTAGGGAAGAAAACTACAGCTTCTCAGAGTTTAGTTTAACACATCTCTTGGAAAGCATTACATATCCTTTATCTTGGTCATTCCCATTTCCATCTCGGTTCTTTTCTAATGACTTAATTTTTAGATTTTTTTATTAAGATTGTCATTTAGTTAAACGCTCAGTTTTCTGACCTTTTCACCTTGAACCTCATACTAACCACCCCGTCTATTCCAGCCTCGATCTCATCATTTTCTTTAACTGGCCCAACTCCCTTTGGAGTCCCAGTCAAGATAAGGTCTCCTTCTTCCAAGGTTATTATCTTGGAAACGTAGCTGATGATGTAGGGGATGGAAAAGATCATCGACGAGGTGTTGCCCTCCTGCCTGAGCTCACCGTTGACCTTGAGCCACAGTCTTAGGGCGTGAGGGTCAGGGATCTTCTCCTTGGGCACGAAGGCGCTGACAGGGCAGGAGGCCGTGAAGCCCTTGGCCAGGGTCCAGGGCAGGCCCTTCTTCTTGCACTCTTCCTGCACATCTCTGGCAGTCATGTCCAGGCACAGGGCGTAGCCGGCCACGTAGTCCATGGCGGCGGCCTCGGGGATGGCTTGACCACGCTTGCCCAAAAGCACTCCCAACTCTACCTCGTGGTGCAGGTTCCGGCAATAAGCGGGCATTAACACCGGTGAGCCCTCGGGAGCGTACGCGGTGGACGGCTTCAAGAAGAGCACAGGTTCGCTTAGCACCGCGCTGCGCATCTCCTTGACGTGGTCTGCGTAGTTCCTCCCCACGCACACGATATTCTTGCCCCATTCCCAGAAGCGAGACAGTGACTTGGGGGAAGCCATGGTACAACCTGTGTCACGTGATCGCACACTCCCGGGACTACGGCGGCCTCGTGGGGTCACGCTGCCTTAGGACGGTGTTCTGGCCGAAGCTGCCCGCTCGTCGTTGCGCAGTAGCTGGACGCTGAGGTCAGCTAAAGGACTCTGCGCGCGGGCAACGGCCGGAAGAGACGAGGAGGCGGAGTACGCTCGACCTCCCTTCACGGCCTACGCTGACTTCCAGACCCGGTATCCTAGCCAAGGCTGCCAGGGCAGGGTGGGAACATTTTGGGCAGGAGCTGCTGATTGGCTGGGGGCGGCACTGGTGGCGAGGGACGGACACTGGTTGGCTGTGAGCTCTCTGGGCGGGCACTGTTGGTTTGAGGGCGCGGCGTTTTGTTAGAGACCAGGAGCTGGTTGGTTGGGAGTAGGCGAGGAGGGGGGGGATTGGTTGCAGTCGCCAACGCCAGTGTTGATGCCCACGACGCCGGAGTTGCGGACTCCGCCGCCCGGTGGGTCATGGTGCTGGGTCGCGGGCCGCGGTGCCTCTGGAGACTGTCAGCGCTGGGAGTCG